AAATTACTATATAACGAACTTTTAAAAATTTTTACTATAAGACTCATCAGTTCGTTATAAACAGAGTTGACTGTATAATTAAACTATCAGTTAAGAGTACTAAATATAACTTTATTACAAATAGGAAATACGAAAGATGAACGAGAAACAATTTGTGTTTGATTGGAATGCTGAAAACACTTCACAAGATTACAATCCTTTTTGTATACAACTAAACATAATGCTCAAATATTGGATGTTGCCATTTCACAGGCATTGATATAAAAGAACAAAAAATAAAGCTATGCACAATTTTATAATAAATTATTAGAAGAGAGAAGAATATTGGATCAGAAAGATCGTGCAGAGTAAATATTTAATTTATATAAAATATTTTATTATTCTATAATGTATTGATTTGATTGTGAAATCAGATATTGGTCTGAAAAACCATTGAAAGAGATGAAAAAAAGAGATTGGTATATTTTCAAAGAAGATTTTAATATAACAAAAGGTATGTTTCATGTTGACCAACTTAAACAAGTTATGTTACAGTCAAATTGACTTTATAATCTGTAGGTAGTAGTATTCCAAATCCTATAAGATCAATAGTCAGAACCTGGGTTATCAGACATATTCTATAAATTCTTGCAAATATTGGTTATAAAAAACCTACTCCTATACAGCCTGATTGGATTACAAAATAGGGATATCATCGGTATTGCGGAAACTAGTATGATTAAAAATGCTGGTGAAATTAATTTCAACAAATTTCACAAATTCACCAATTTCACCAATAGTGATAAAATTATTCACTAATTTAATTTCACCAGCACCTTTTGGGTATGATATTTATGCTATTTTATAAATTGCTTGGATGCAGTTTTCTGAAATTTAATTTTATAGTAGGGGCTGGGAACTTGTGTCGTTCGTTATTCCAATTGCTTATGTATTTATTTGAACTAATTTTGGCTCTAGTACATTAATTGGGTAAGAAATAAAGCCTGTGATAATATTAATGTTTATTTTAACAATAATGCTAATTTAAATTTTATAATATGAAGATCATCACACTCTCTCTCCTGACCACATACATTTAGAATGGAGAGAACATAGAAAAGACAAAATAAACTCTACACAAAAGCCTTTTAAACTTAAAACCAGCAACAGAATGGGGTTTCCCCCCCTAGTTCCTAAGAAACGGAAACTTTTTAGCACAGAAACTAATAAAAACAAGAAAACTAAGACACTAGAGCCTTCTTTAGAGAAACAACAATCTCTATTAGACAAAACAAACGGCCTACTTGCGAGCAAAGGACCTATGGCTACAGAGGACAGCCAAGCTGCAACAACAAATTTGTTACAACAAAGCTCTATAGTTAATGATAGACCCAGCTGGGATGAACAAGTTTCTCAAGAAATCAAAACAAGAATGAACAATGAAAAACTACTTACAAATGACAAAACTGACGTGTCTAGCCCTGAAACACATTCAACATTGCAAGAAAACCAGGTAAATACAACAACGGAAACAACAAATACAAAAATACACGACACGTACCTTTCAGCATCTAAGACTGTTACTACAAACAGTAGCAACAAACCCTCTCCAAAACCCTGGTCCAGTCTCTTTGCAAGGGTCAAAAGAGGCCAATCAACTTTCTCATCCTTTTCTCCAAAAAGAGACATATGATCCAAAAATGATAATGCCCTTATCATTGATATAGGAAATCTTGACAGCTCTCTAAACGAAATTATGGTCTTTCTCTTCAAGACCGCAGGGGGTGATATTTTAGCAGCTAAGCCTCATATTCTCAGGGGCATGCGCATACATTTAGAACTAGTATTTGTAAACAAAGAAAAACTCAAGCTCTACGCCACCAGGGGTGTAGAAATTTTTAATAAAGTATATTACGGGTACATCCCGATCGATGCAAGAAGATCTTTCCTGTCTGTCAAAATTAGAAACGTTCTACTAGGAAACAAGGAAGAGATTTCACACGAGATTCAAGCCACTTTTGGTGATATAGGCAAAATTGCCTCCATCAGGCCTCTGCTAATTGAGGGTACTCCATACTTAACTGATCAGTAGATAGTCTCCTTCGAAACCACAGATGACTCAGATTTAGAAAAAAGAATCCCTCGCTTCTATATTCTTCTTGACAACAAAGTTACCACAGAATGGCGATCAGCCCCCAAAATATGTTATTTTTGTGATAAAGAAGGGCACATCAAAAAAGATTGTGACCAATTCAAAGAAGCTCTTGAGCTTTAAGGAGAATACAAAGCATATGTCGCTAATAGAAGACAAAAATTAAATCAGCTTTCAGCAGCTAACAAGCCAGATGCACCCCTCCCAGGCTCTAATACCTGTAATGAGGATGGAAATCCTTTGGTCTCTCAGATGACCACTGCCTCCTCCTCTGATTCTGTCCCAGTTGATAACCAAATCACTGAAAATCCCTGGTTGTCTGAAGAAGCCCAGAAAACTACTAACATAAACCCCTATGAAAATAATATGGAACAGATTCAGCACCAGACACTCCATCTCCCGCTGCAACTGCACCAAGAGAAGAACTCCTCCCCTCTAGCTTCCTAGTAGTGCTTATCGACAATAATGCAACCACTCAGCCTCAAATCGATAACATAGATGAGGAACCTTTTACAACAATGCGCAGGAAAAAGAAAGGTCGAAAAGCCCTAGCAAACCAGAATCCTGATGCAAACAGACCAGCCTCATACAAAAAAACCTGAAATGGGGTATACAGCTTCTAGATTTTCTATCTGCATTACTTTATATAGCTCATAAGCAACAAACACTGCTTAAAAATTGCAACCCTTAATGTAAAAGGGTTGAACAACCAACTTAAGCAAAAAAACACTTTAACTTTACTTAAATCTTATAAACTCGACTTAATTATGTTACAAGAAACAAATCTAGACAACACCAATACTCAAAACTTTTTAAAGAACCAATGGATATATGACTCAATTTGGACTAATAGAACAGCTATACTTGCGGGCAACAAAGATATCTGTTTCAAGAACACCAAGACAGATTTAAATAATAAAGTTTTATCTATCAACTTTAGCTATAAAAATCTCTCCTTTCAAATATCTAACATCTATGCTCCCCCTAATCAAGAAGACAGAAAACTCTTTTTCAACCAATGGTCTTTGCAGATTGATGAAAACTCTATTAATATCATTGCAGGTGATTTCAACACCAACTTATATCCAGAAAGGGACAGAATCAGTCAAGCTGCCTCTCAGCATGACTCATCAAGACTACTTTTACAAGAGCTTACTAGGAACTTTCTAGACTCCTCTAGCCTAGCTGCTACGGAACCCTTTCATACCTATTTTCAAAGAACTCAAAGTAACCAGATCATGGCAACCCACTTGGATTATATCTTTATAGATGAGAACAATGCCCACTTGATTTCCCAAACTGTTACAAGATTTGGAAACTCAGATCACTTTCTTGTAGAATACACCTTGAGCCTCAAATCTAAAAACAAAGCCCCTGCTCTTTGGAGATTTGATGCAAGCTGCTTTAAAAATAGAATGCTAGAAAAAGAAGTTTTAAAAGAAATATCAGTAACAAAAAACTCTGAGGATTGGAACTTTTGCAAGATTCATATACAATTGATCATCAGAGCCTTTAGAAAACCAAGAGCTACAGAAAACAAGATCTTAAACTTGAATAAAAAAATAACATCTTTGAACGAAAAACTAGCTCTTAACCCTGACAATGCTTATCTATACTCACAAGTAGAAAGACTCAAAATGGAACTTCAAGAGGAACTAGTACTTTTCACAAACAAATGGCAAACCCGTTCCAAGCCCCAATAGGTCGAACAAGGAGAAAAATCTACTAGATATTTCTTTGCCAGATACAAAGCCAGGAAAACATACTCTGCCCTCAAAGATGTCAAAAACCCAGCAGCACCAGTACAAACAGAGGAAAACACTCTGTAATATATCAGGGACACATATGCTAAACTATATAAAAAAGAGGACATCAATTTTGATGCAGCAGGCCAAATTATAGACAATCTACCACAGGTTTTACTCCAGTATAACTTAGCTTTAACACAAGAAATAACACAAGAAGAAATTAGTAGTATTATCAGAAAGCTACCAAATAATAAGGCGCCTGGCACCGATGGACTCATTTATGAGTTTTATAAACTAACTGAGAAGCTAGTAGTTCCTCTTCTGTACAAAATTTTCAACCAAGTTCTTAGCTCAGGTTCTCTACCACCCTCATGGCTTAAGAGTCTAATCTCTCTAATTTCAAAAAAGCTATCTAATCTAGATAATATTAGCAATTGAAGACCTATTTCACCGGTTAATAGTGATGCTAAAATATTTATGAAAATTATTGCGAATTGACTCAATCTTATCTGTGAAGAGATTATACCACATCAACAATATGGGTTTATCAAAAACAGAGCAATTACAGATGCTGC